CCAAGGCTTTGGGCCATCCTTGACTTCCTTCCCAGGCTACAAGCAGGGAGCTGGATGGGAAGTGGAGCTGGATAGGAAGTGGAGCTGCGGGATTAGAACCGGCGTCCATTTGGGATCCCAGCATGTTGAAGGCGGGCACTTTAGCTGCTAGGCCACTGTGCCGGGCCCCTAAATTTGTTTTTAAATTATTATTATTTTGCAGTAAAATGATCTTTTAATTCTGTTCTCATTGAACTTAAGGAAGTACCCTGGTGCCTGCTGGGAAGTCACAGCCTGGTGAGGTTGGACAAAGGCCTAGGTTTCCAGCAGGGAACTGCTGTTGTTCATGCCACAGTCCTCTTTCTCAGCTTTCAGATATCAGAGCTGTCAGTTTATTCTGATAGAATATCGGGCCCAGCACTGCTGAAGGCTCTGAAACCTCTGGGAGTCCTTCCTGCCCTGGGCTTGTGGGTGTGGCTACGGCAGGCAGCACCCAGCCTGCTGGACCCTCCCAGAAAGTCAACGGGTCCCCTTGTTTGTCTGGCACTTTGCAGGAACGGTGACTAGGGCTGTGCAGTGCCCGTGTGTCAGTCTGCCTCGCTGCTGGCCGACTTCTGTTTGGATTTGAGTCTGCGTCGTGATCAGCATGGACAAACTTACCTTGTGTCTGTGCAGGCCTCTGCAGGAATGTCTGGGCCTTAGCGAAGAGCATCTGGAAGCTTCTCCTGTTCTTTTGGCGGGATCAGAGGAGGAGCTGCGGAAGGAGGCTGCTGTGGCTGTGGAGGACTAAACTCCTATAAAAGGGATTGTTTGGATTTCCCAGGCAGTTCTGTGCCCTGTGTCAACTGCCCTGTCAGAGCAGCCCGCACGGCCTGCTGGAGGCAGAGGGAGGGAGTGGTGGGGCCAGGACAAGGGGCCCAGGCAGGGCGGCAGGTGTCACAGTGGGGCCAGTGCAGTACCCCTGGAGATAGTCCTGCGAAGTGGCCAGGGTCCCAGCACGGGTGGTCCCCAGAGCAGGCAGCACGGCTTCCCTGAGGCACCTGTGCAGAAGTGCAGGGCAGGGGAAGAGAGGTCACCATGGAGCTGGCATCCTGGCCTGGGTATCCCTCTAAGCTGGGGACACGGGGTAGCCCTGGGGGCTGAGAGGGGCTGCCTTGTGATCATGTCTCTCCCAATCTCTCTTACATCTGTCCCTAGCTATTATTCCTCTGAATTTCTCTTTATTTTAGAGAAACTTGCCCTGTGCTTAAGGTCTTCCTAGGAGGATCTGGGATGTGGCTGCACTGCCTGGAAGGGACCACTTTCCCGAGGGAGGAGGCCCCCACGCTCTGGGTTCCCGGGGCAGTGGTTACAGGGTGGAGACTTGGTGTTACACACACACTGTTGCCTCGTTGTTGTGTGTCCAGGTGATGTTTTGCCATCCTTGAAGCTTATCATCACTGGGAAATGCACAGACAGTTCTGACTGTGCTCACTGGAAATAAAAACCACCGTTACTACATCTGGTCATGTCATTGTCCGTTAGATGGGAGCCCATCAGGGAAATGTTTATGTGTGTGTTGCACTCCACAGATGGCCACAATGCTGGGACCGAGCCAGGCTGAGGCCAAGAGCAATGAACTGCACCCACGTGGGTGCAGGGGCCTAGACACTTGGGCCATCGGCCATTGCTTTTTCAGATGCCTTAGCAGAGAGCTGGATCAGATGTGGAGCAAGTGGGACTTGAACTGGTACCCATTTGGGCTTTCATTTTTGCAGGTGGTAGCTTAACCCATTATGCTATGCCACCAGCTCCTGGTTTTGTGTCTTGAAGAGACAAGTCCGCTGACTGGCTTGTTAGCCACTGGACGTGGGGTCCCCCTAGGCTGGTGATGCTTGCTGTGTTGTGAAGTCACAGCGACAGTGCCTATCACGAGCTCAGGACACTGTTCTGGAATGATCAGGATCACGTTGCAGCCTCGTGGAGCACCCTGGGGTGTCTGGGTGGCTGGTGTGCAGGAGTGGGCAGGGCTTGGGTGCTGCCCATTCACCAAGCTGTTCTCCTGCTGCACCTGGCAGGCAGGTGCAGCCCAGCAGCCAGATGGCCCTGATTTCAACCAGGCCTTGTGGTGTGCCCATTTCAGGGAGGGGCAGGATTTTCAGTGCAAACACTTGGTTCTGCAAATGGAGAGAGCAGAGCTTTTCCCAGTGCAGACTGGGGGCGTCGCCTGCCTGGAGGAAGGACCCGCCTCTCCTCCTCGCACGGTGGGGCAGAGCGGGCCTGTTGCTGCCTTCTGTGCCCCGCCTTGTCTCTGCTCTGGCTTGGAGGAAGGCAGATTCCATCACATTCTCTGTGACTTGCGGACCATGCGGCATGCATAGTCATAGTATGAACTGATTGTTTTATGACCCTGGGCCAATGCAGTGTAAACTCATTGTGAGTTCTGGGTGTTGTTTTGTAACTAGCTGTTGAAGGTGTGTGTGTGTGTGTGTGTGTGTGTGTGTGCGTCTGTGTCTGTGTGTGTCTGTGTCTGTGTGTGTGTGTGTGTGGTGTTGGATGGTGGGCGGCGGGGGGAGTGAGATTGGACTGAAAGACACCAGCCTCTGGCTTTCATTGGTTGCTCGAGAGCAGGTGGCTTTGTAGGCTCTGTCCAGGCTGATGCTGAGTGACCTCTGACCTTGGGATGCTGCAAGTGGGACCACTTCCACTCTTCCTGTGTTTCTTCCTTTCCCTTTCTTTTTCTTTTAAAATTTTTTTTAAAAAAGATTTATTTAAGAGAGATCTTCCATTCACTAATTCACTCACCAAATGGCCACAGCAGCCAGAGCCGAGTCAGGCCAAAGCCAGGCACCAGGAGCTTTTTCTGGGTCTCCCACATGGGTGGCAGGGTTCCAAGGCCTTGGTTCTTCCTCCACTGCTGGGAGCTGGATGGGAAGTGGAGCAGTAGGGACATGAATCCATGCCCACATGGCAGCTTTACTGACTACCACAGCACCAGCCTCTTGGTCTCCTATTCTGTTGCTGATGCAGAGTTCTGAGTGTTTCTTAGCCATTCAGTCTGGTCCTATTAGGACTTGAATAACTGTGAGTATCCTGGCCTGAGCCCCTTGCAAACTGAGTCCCCTGCGTCTCTCACCGCCCTGCCTGCTCTCAGGAGAGGCCCTTCCCTGGTCAGCCCTACAACAGGACTCACACAGCTCTATGTGAAGGCGGCACTGTCAGAGTGGCCGGCTCTGCGGGCCCGAAGGCTCTGCCACCGCGGCGCAGCTCTGTCCTGCATTGCAAGGGCAGCCCTGGATGTAAACAGCGGTGTGTGGCCCGCTTGCTGGGATGCTTGTTTACCCAGAAGCGGATCTGGCCCAGGGGCTGCAGTCGCCCGTCCTTTCTGTGGGTGCTGCGCTCTCTGCGCCGTCCTAATCCTGCGTTGTAGATTTTCTGTGTGTCCTGCTTCCACTGCGTAGAAGCTGCGCCGGTGCAGGGCCTCCGTGTCTTCTCCCCTGCTTCCTGAATGCTCAGAACAAAGCAGATGCTCAAGGAATGCCTGCTCAGTGAGATCAGCCCACCTGAGACATGCGGCCTGCCTCTTGGAGGGGACTTGCACCTGTCGCGTGAAGCATGACTTCGGCCATCTCCTGTGGATGTGGGTTTTTCTGGTTGGCACCTGTGCTGTTCCCTGTTTGTGTGCCCTGGGAGGGAGCCCCTTGTCATGGTGCCGGGAGCCTTCCCTGTTGGCTGCTGATGGTGGTTGTTGGGGACCTCACTGCTCTGTTAACAGCAGGGCTGGAGCAAGAACTGACTTTGTCCTGTGTCCTGTGCGGCCCTTGTTGTGAATGGAGCCTGGCCAGGACACTTGCCTTGTGATGCTGCCCGAACTGGATGCTGTCCCAGCACTGAGCAGGGTCTTGGGACTTTGTGTCCCATTCACAGTGCACCACAGGGGGTGGAAGCGGCCGCTGCGTGGCTCCTGGGGCCGCCCTGGCCCGCGGCACAGATCGTGCTGCTCCACAGCCAGGGCTTTGTGCTGTTCTTGGAGGGGCTGCGGGGGCTGGAGCCCCTGATGATGGTCACCGTGTTCAGCTGGGCTGTGCCAGCTGAGGGTGGCCCCAGTGTATAGGTGGCAAGGCGGTGGTGGGGAGTACAGAGATGGCAGGCAGGCAAGCTTTGTTATTTAGAAATGTGGTCCACATGCTGGGGACACGGGCAGCGGCGTGAGGCTGGGCAGTGTGAGCCTGGAAGGAGGATTTGGAGTATTCAGGGAAGAGAGGGAGGAAGGCTGAGAGACCTCAGGCCTGAATGGCAGGCAGGATCAGGCCCTGTAACGGAGTGAGGGTGCGTTTTACCTGGCAGCTCTGGTTCAGCGCCATGGAGACGGCTCTCAGCTGCTGTGCCGTTTATGGTCTTGGGGTTGAGGCCTCCAGGTTTTTAGCATTTTGGGGAAAGCAGTGTGTCCCAGCTCCCCCAGCACAGAATGAAGTCTTTAGGTCTGGTTCTGAGAGCTCCTGACAGCCGCAGGGGGGTGAGCAGCTTTGCTGAGGCACCACTGGTTTCCCTTGGGTTGGAGCCGACTCAGCTTAAGAAACTTGACTTTCTTAGGGGAAGGCCAAGCTTAACACAGGGGAAGGACTGATAGAGAAGTGACACACAGTCATGCTCGGGGACCACATCTGAAAAATGCAACATTGTTGCAAGTCAGAGGTGCGGCTGTAACGGTTCCCAGGTGCTCAGCAAGCAGGCTTTGGGTTGGCAATGGACTTCAGTGTTGCTTGGGGGAAAATAATTTCCCACACTGGGTTTTGTTTTTAAAACCCTGCCAAGGTGGAAACTGAGGCCGGGCTGCCTTGCTGGGTGTTTCCTACGGTTGCTGTTTCTGGTGCTTAGACTGTTCTTGGGGAGCTGGGCAACCAGGGACCTTCCTGGAGCCAGTTGCAAAACCAGAGCAGCTTCCAGTGTGGACCCCCGGGCCTCCAGTGGCCTTCGTGGGGCCTTCTCTTCTCTCCCTCCTTCCCATCTGTCTCTGTCTTCTCTCTCCCGCCTTTCTGCAGAGCCACCAACCAAATACCAAATCTCCCAAGCGGAAGTTTCTGTGGTCGCGCCAGGGGAGTCGCTAGAGTTGCGCTGCCTGTTGAAAGATGCCGCCGCGATCGGTTGGACTAAGGATGGGGTGCACTTGGGGCCCAACAATAGGACAGTGCTTATTGGGGAGTACTTACAGATAAGAGGTGCCACGCCTCGAGACTCCGGCCTCTATGCTTGTACTGCTGCTGGCACTGTAGGCAGTGACTCTTGGTACTTCATGGTGAATGTAACAGGTGAGTTGGCCCCGACCCCGGCGGGACACACTCTTTGTAGCCACTTCCCAGTTAAAATGTTTGCAGAAAAGTGCATTCCTGCTGAGATGTTGGCCTGCAGCTTTCTCGCACCTATGGGTCTGTTTGACACTTCCCCATGGGCCCTGGTGCCACCCGGCCACTGACAATGACGGAGACCTGTGCACTGAGTAGCGCGTTTCTTTTTTGAGACGGCAAACTCTACAAGTCCTAACAGACCCTCCCCTGCTACCCTCAAAGCGACCCTGACAGCCTTGGCATTTTAGACTGCGGGATTGAAAGGCGCATGCTCGAGACGGAGGGTTCTTTCCTTAAAATTTGAGATTCTCTGCTGGGTTTTCCTCCCATGACGTGAGTGGCTCTGAGCTTTGAGGAGGCTGAGCAATCAGCAGGGCCACGTGGGGACTCCGTGTTGATAGGGGTTCATTCCTTTATTGAAATGAGCCCCGAATGCCAAGGTTATGTCGGGCAAAGGGCTTTGGATGTTAAACAAGCGGTAAATTTATCACACACTTGAATACTGCTTGATGCGTTCCCGATGGTTGTAGTCATGTTTAAATCCCACAAAAGCAGAAAATCCTGAGATTCATCCCACGGACTGCCCATTGGCTAGGAGAGAGACTACTTAAGCCGTGAAGACTGTATGAACTTGACACGTCTCTCACGCTAAATGCGAGGGCTCCTGGGTTGTAGGATTTGCAGTGTTGCCCATCGCAGCTTCTGGCCTTGCAACAGCGTACCCACGGGTCTGTTCTTTCCAATACAGATGCCATCTCATCCGGGGATGACGAGGACGACACGGATGGCGCTGAGGACTTTGTCAGTGAGAACAGTAACAGCAAGAGTAAGTAACCGCCCGCCTCGGAAGGTCCCGAGAGGCCGAGAGCAAGCGTGCATCGCGTGGAGGGAGCCCCTGCCTGCACCTGTCTGCCTGGCGACTCCTCAGCGCCCTGTGTGCCCTGTGGCCCCTGCCCCTCCTAACTTGCAGACCTGACAATAAACTAGTGTTCTGTGCACCCTGCTCTTCTACTTGTCTTTTCTTCTCGTGTCAGCTGCCACTCTGGTTTCAAAGCACCTGCTTCTCTTGCTCCTCCACTCCTTTGCCCTGTGGTTTCTCACTGTTGGAAGGTATACAAACAGCAGACCGCGGCGTCCATCCTAACCACACTTGTGTTAAGACAGGGTGTGGTTGCCAGGCCTGCCCCCTGGGACACTGCTGCTGTTGGGTGGTCCTGAGCAGGGGGTGGGGATTGTGGTGTCTCAGGGGTTCTGCTGTTTAACCCCTCAGCAGTGCCCAGTCCCAGAGCAGCCTGGCCTCACGTGCCGTGAATGCTGAGGGCAAGGGAAGCCTGCCTTGCTGTAGATGGGGCCTCAGTGTTGGTTGGGTGCTTATTAAAAGGCGGTCAATGCTGAGTACCCCCACACTGGAGGTTGTTAGCGTGGTGCACAGGGACTTGGCGGGGCCCCTGTGGCCTGGCAGTGAGTCTGGGCCCTGCCCCATCACTTCTCTGAGTTGTTAAGTGAACACAGTACACATCCGGGCCTCAGTCTCTTCAGCTGGAAAGCAGTGCAAACGAGAACACAGAGGTGGTGTTGGGACCCGGAGAGGTGACGGTGGGCAGTGCTGCAAAGAGCGAGTGCTGGTGAATGTTTGCGGATGAAAGCCTTCCTTACGGACACAGCTGGAATTTGCCCAGAGTGACAACATGACAATCGTTGGGTTCCTGGTGTGTGTGTGGGGGACATATTCTTTATTTTCTCAAGTGGATTTTCATCAATTTTAGAACTTTTAAGGCAGCCCAAGCAAGGCAGTTATTGAAGTGCAAAGCCTTAAAAAAAGGGGAGGGCACCTTTTAGGGCATTTTAAAGTTCATGGTAAAAGTGGGGGGCCGGTGGTTTCTGGGTTTCTGGTCAGTGCCCAGCCCTGACGCGTGGCTGTCATCCTGAAGGATGCTGCCTCGATACCTTGTCACTCGAAGTCCGTGGTCTCTGTTAGGGTTTGTTACTGGAGTCGCACCTTGAGTGTATGCATTGCAACAAAGGTGTAATGAGCTGCTTGCACCATTCCGGCATCGCAGAGCGTGGTCCTGCTCCCGGGCTGTCTGCCAGCAGCCGTAGCAGCCGTGGGGGACAGCCCCTGTCGCCTCGCTCGCTCGCCAGCATTCGCGGTTGGCAGCCTTCAGGGACTGGCCCGTTCTGAGGAGCGTGTGGTGATATCTTACTCCGAATTTGCTTCACGACGGATCAAGTGCACGCTTCAGTGGTGCCTGGGTACCTATGCTGCTCTGAAATTGGGTGGGTTGTTTTCTCATGGTTGGAGTTGAAGAGGTTTTGGACAACAGTTCGGTGCCGCCTGTGTCAGCTGCATAGCCCAGTGTGCAGCTTGTCCCGTCGGTGTCTCTGACACAACAGAAAGCCTTACTTCTCAGGATGTCTAGTTTGTCAATTCTTTCATTGATTAATAACGCAAACCTGATGCTGTTTCTAAGAAAGAAAAAGTCGTCACACCCGAGCTTATATGTAGGTTTTCTTGGTCTTCTTGTGTTGAGAGTTTGAAAGATAGTTGGGGGCAGAGCAGGGGAGAGGGGCTCATGGATCTTGCACCTGCTGGTTTGCTCCGCTCTGTGCCTGGGACTGGACCACGCCGAAGCAGGAATCAGAAAGTCCTTCTGAGTTTCCCTCATGGGTGGCAGGGACCCGAGTACTTGGGCCACCCTCTGCTGCCCTGCCAGGGGCATTAAGGAAGCTGACTCCAAAACAGAAGAGCTGGGACTTGAACCAGCCCTCCTATAGGTGAACCCAGGCTCACAGTGGGAGGTTAATCTGCTGTGTCCCACCAAGGACCCCCCCCCCCCACACACACACCGTGTTGTTTTCTAAGAGTGTGTAACAGTTTTATTGTTTGCTTTAGGATCTGGAATATATTTTAAGACAGTTTTTGTGAAGTGTGCAAGGTTTGCGTTTACACGAATTTGTGTGTGTATGTGTATATAGTTGTCCCAGCACCATCTGTTGAAAAAATGTTTCAGGCCAGAGCTTTCGTTTCTTTTAAGGGAAGAAGAGCAAGTAGGTACTGCTGGGTGCCTGGGATCAGTATGTCCCCGAGTGGAGATTCGACCTGAAGGCTCCCAGCGGCTTGGGCAAAAAGGGAACAACTTTGGTTTATGTGGTCCTTGCTTTGTATTGGGAGGAAGTTGAGGACAGTGGTCCTCAAAGTGCAGTTCCTGGACCCCTGGTGTCAGCACCTCTGGGTTGGGGGGACCACCATCTCCTTGGAGCCCTGGGGTGCTTGTGAAAACCACTGGCCGAGGGGCTGCCCGCTGAGCTCTGCATTGGGCGGGAGCTTACCAGGAGTGACTGCATGGTGGACGGGCCACGCTGGGCACGCTCTGTGTTGATGCTGGTTCCGCACCACCCCTGACCCGATGTGCTGGAGAGAAGGAGGTGTTCTTACTGTATTGATCTAGAAATCATAGTGCAGGTTCAGAGCTGTTGTTCAGCCGTGGGCCTGTTGCCTATGGGCATCTCAGGGTGGGGTGGGAAGACTGGAAATGCCACAGCGTAGTTTGTAGCTCTTCAGGGTGACCTGCGAGTAGGAGTTGCTCTGCCTGATGGGGACACTGGGTTCTACTGGTTTGGTTTGGTTGGTGTGACCTGCCACTTGGTTGTGGTGGTCGAGCGCCCTGCTGTGTGCTGTGTGAGCCTGAACATGGGGAAGTAGGAAGATACATCCCCGAGGTGTAAGTTAGGTCACCAGCAGGCCCAGCAGATGCTGCTTCTTCGATGGTTCAGGAAGCTTGCCTGCTGTGCAGTGCTCCCGGGTGGACCATGTGGCCGCTAGCCTGACCACCCAGGGCCCGCTGCAAAGGGCTGGCCAGGAAGGCACTCTGTTTTGTGAATGCCAGCCAGTAGTTCACTTGCCATGCCTTCTTCACCTTGCAAGCAGGGCTTTTGTAATTAGCTCTCGAATGACACCAACTGTGCCCCCCAGTGGGTGCTGTGAGGTGATTATGGGCTGGTGGGGATCCTGCTGCTGGGAGGGACCTCTGCCTGTGAAACGTTAGATGCTATTTAAAGTGATAGCAGTTCTTAGCTGCCTACTTGGCCTCTGCCATCTGTTGGTGTGATTAGGCTGTTCTGATTCACAGGTGCAGCCCGGGGTGGCTGAGATTAAGCAGCTGTGGCCTGTGTGGACAGAGGAATGCCAAAGCTGGGGCAATTGGCAACGCGGGAAAGGGGATGTTGCTATTGAAACAATTTCTTGCCACTCCAAGTGTCAAATACCTGACCTGATTTAATAGGGAAAATTGCAGAAGCACCACATTCTTTGCATTTTCCACCACCCTGGAAAACCCCCACATGTCTGAATTGATTTCTTTGGGGCCTTCCGAGGGTCTGGAGCGTCGGTGGGCGGATTGGATGTTCTCTTGAGTAGCTAACCATTGGCACTCTCGTGGTCCTGTGCTGATGCCAGTCATATGTGGGGGCTTCTCGGGGGAGCTTTCATCCCTTTTTGAGTGGTGACCTTGCAGGTTGACTCTCTTGTCGCTGTCCTGCAGCGACGGACTTGGTGCACGGAGCTGATAATAACACGTGTGGACCCTGACTGATGGTCAAAGCCGAAGTTTATTAGGGGCATCAGACTTTATACACTGAGAGTCCGTACTGTTTTCCTCTCTTGATTGGAATTCCTTTTGTTTTGTGTATTACACCAGGTGTTCTCATTTACATGCTGTTTATACCAAAGGTAGCCATTTGGTTGTTGTCATGCAAATACTGTCCAATGAACTGCAAACCTGTGCTCGCTGACCTTCCAGGCTCACACTGTCCTCCTACAGCTTTCATCTTCTGGCTCAAAGGTTGTCCCTGCCCTGGGTGTGCTGGTTTCTTGTTGATCTAATTCTGGGAGTTGAATATAAGAAGGCAAGCTTATGTGTCCAGTAGAGTCGTTCTTAGGGTATGAACTCAGGTCCAGAATCACAGCAGCGAAATGTGATGGAAAGAGCAAGCCAGAGTGAAGGTGGGTCGGCTGGAGCTCGTGTTCGTAAACGTGTTTCTTGATTTTGAGAGAAGTGTTCTACCTTCTTCAGGGCGCAGTGGAGACTTGCCACGTCCACATGGGTGGTGGGCTCCTCTGAGTGTCACATGTTGAGTTTTGCTGCCTTACACATGCAGGGCGGCCCTGTGGCTCAGCGCGAACTAACCTAGTCTTCACTTACATCTTTCATGAATTTGTTTAAGAAGGACTGTAGTGTTCAGGTCTGGTCTTTAGCAAGCTCTTGTTTTCCTGAAAATATTTTTTGGAGTCCTGGTCTAGAATAAAGTTCTGCCTACAGCAGCTTGTATTCCAAGGTGAATCTGACCCTGTCTTGGAAACTTCCAGCACCCTCTCAGCATCATGCAAGCTCTGAGATCTTACACAGTAGAACATCTGCTCACTGTGTGCTGCTGCAAGCTTGCTCAGCAGAAGATCCCTTTGAAAAGACAGTGTCCAGCAGCCTCCTATTGCATGGGCTCTGAACAGCCCGGCCAGGGGCCGCTTTGATGGCCTGCGTAGCGTCGCACGTTCTTGCGTCACTGGTGTGGAGGGCATTCTCTGATTGTGTTTTAGCACAATCAGACCAGATGATGACCTTCTATTTCACCCAAGGCACAATCCTGTGATGTCATTGCAAGCCCAACCGCCAGGAACTACTGCCACTAAATGCATGTGTTCAGAAAATGGCAGTTGCAGATGCTAATGTTTGAATTAGGTTCTGGTTGAAGGTTTGGAAAAGTTCAGATTTTGTGCTTGAGTATAAGAAAGTATAACTGAATGGGTCCTTGCTTTCTGTAGGAACCTGG